TATAGGGACAGGAAGAGAGTAGCCCCTATATATAGGTAATTTCAGCAAACTGTCCTGTGCTATTCAAGCTGTCGGGAGTTGGCATTTGGCCCTCCCATTTCAGACTCGAGCATGTAACTTACAATGTCTGTCAAACCCTGTCCTGGGTCAGGCTGGCCTCCTGACTCTGTGACGAAGAAAAGAGAACAAAACAGCCTGAAAGGTAAAGGCACTGTGCCCATAAGGACAGCTACTGGGTAAACTATTTCCGACATACGTTATTGTTATTTATCTCATAATACAGAGATGTCTTTAGTGAAAATGACTACTACAAAAGGGTACAAAAAGTAGAAGCTAGCCCGGACTCTGGCCTGGAGAGAGTATGCAGTGAGTGTCAAGCTGCCAGGACCCTTCCTCCATCCCGGAGCTGGGCGGGTAACATTCCAGAGAGAAAATTTGAAGGTTACTCTCCACCTGGAAACACATGTTGGAGTTTTTAAAAGCATTGCTATCTCTTTCTCCTTTCCTTGCCTCTCCTGCAACTCAGAGAGACCTGACACTTGATTCTGGAGACTAACTCTGCTTCCTTGAGCTGAAACTGTGAAATTCCTTCCTCTGTTTCTTATTTTGCTCTTTTGGGCCTACCTGCCATGACCATGGCCGTCTCCTGTCTGTGGCATGTTCCACAGAGGGCCAAGCAGATGGTAGTGGTCTGTGCGGCAGCTTTGGGCCATTTTGAGGCCTGTGGCCAGACTGCCACCAGGGGCCATGTTAATAAGGGAGGCCTGAACTGCCACCAGAGAACACAATGAGGTCGTGGTCCTTGCTGCCACCTAAGGTCACATCGGTGTCTAGGGCGCTGCTGCAGCTGGAGTCTTTGCTGCTGCCCATGGTCCCACGGGGTAGTTGGTGGTCTCTGCTGCCACCTGAAGCCACATTGATGTCTGTAGGCTGTGCTGCCACAGGGGACCATACTGATCTGCGTGGCCTGCACTGCCAGCTGAGGCCATCTTGGTGTCCTGGGTCCAGGCAGCCTGTGGTCCTGCATTAGCAGGGGCCATGTTTGTGGTTTATTCGTGAGGGGGAAAAATGTAGGTATCCATAAAACTTCCCAATCCCACTGAACCCTCAAGGTATCACTGCACCCCTTTTAAACCGTTTTTTTGTTTGTTTGTTTGATTGATTGATTGATTTTTGTGGTTTTTTTATGCTTTGTGATTCAAAGGCTAAATTGGCAGTTGGAAGACAAGCCACTGCAGTGAGGGTCTGCTTCTGCTTCATCTCTCCAGGCTGGATTTACTCTGCAGTAGAACCTCCCCCCATCCCCTCCACCCCACCCCCCAAACTCATGTGCTCCAAACATGTCTGCATGTGTTTCTGTATGATCTAGATAGAACAGTCTATCTTCCAGAAATCCCTCTGTCACACTGCCTTTTCACAATAAAAATTACTAATTATACTAATAAATTATAGAAAGCATTAACAATTAACTGTCAAAATGTGGTTTCTTATGTATCTTATGCATGATTGGATTTATATAGACTGACTACATGTGATCGTGGCTTGTATATCATGTACTTAATACCAAACTGACTTAACAAATAAGAGCTCATGTAAACTCAAGTTGTTAATTTGGCCCAACTTCATTTTGTTCATAGTAAAACTAAAATTTTATGAAAAAATGATTAAACACAAAAATATATTTAAAAACTTATAGCCACATAGGTTAAATAAATAGAGATGGCTAATGGTCCTGAGCCTTTCTTTCGGACAGTTAACATGGTTTTTAAAAATTGAAAAGAAAAATATATATGTATATATAACATATATACATATGTATGACTAAAAAGTGGGAGATAAAAAGAACGAGACCTACCTATGACTATAAAATCATACATACAGAGAAAAACTTTTCAGTGGAGAATAAGCTTTTGATTGGTAACAGGAAGGGCTTTCTGAATAGACAGCAATGACAGAGGTGAAAACCCTCTGTGGGGCAAAGGACAGTGTCATCTAGCAAAGCAGCAGTCCACAGAATGGGATACAGGGTTAATAGAATATAAAGAACTAAAAACCCTAAACACAGGGGAAAAACCCAACTAAAAAATGGGATATAGAACTAAGCAGAGTTCTCTGAGAAGCACAATTATTCATTTATTAAGAAAAATGAAAACTGCAGGTAAATGGATAGGGCTATAAAAATCAGAGTGAGATAACCCCTAAATAAATATTGCATTTTTAAATTATATATAGACCTTTATATGCTTAAAAAATTAAATCTCTTGACACATGTGTTACCAATCGAATAACCACAGAGACTATGCACCTAAGAAGGGATCAGGTGGAGAAGGGGATCTTTCAAGGAAGGGGAAATAGAATACACGGTTATGGAGTGATAAAGGGGAAACTAGAATAGCAAGATTAAGTAGGGAGGGGCTGGGAGAGCTGGGTACGGGAGGAGGCATTGTGGGGGGACATCCAACACTCAAAGCACTTTGAAAGTAATTTCAAAACATATGCATATAGGAAAGGAATCTAAATGAGGTCACCATATATGGGCGAGTCAATACCCCAACTAGACATCATATGCTACCATGTAAAACCCATAGTGCCAGGAATGCATCTTTTGAGTCATTGGCCAAAGGGAACCATCAAGCCCCGCCCCCACCCCAAACAACACAGGCTATTGCCAAAGCTATTCATTGCTCTCCACACTCTGATGGTCAGGCACCACTACTGAAGATTACACTTCAGTCATTGGACATAGAGAAGCTCAGTGGGCATCTAACTACAACTGACCAGTTCAAAGTGGGATACACTTCAGTCATTGGACATAGAGAAGCTCAGTGGGCATCTAACTACAACTGACCAGTTCAAAGTGGGAGAAGGGATTTACCAGTTCAAACACCCTGGGGTCTTTGAATTACTTAAGAGGAAAGATATTCATTAGGTTTCTACTTAGAGCGTGTGTTAAAGCAGTAAAAGAAATGCTTAAAAATACAGAATGTTTTACTTGAAGTTGTGAAGTAAAAAATATAGTCAGAAAAAGAAAAATGCACACAGAATCCAAACATGTCATTCCTATTCACTGTAAATGCTTTATAATCTTTTACTGTGAGGGTTCTAACCCCTGTGTGTGTGTGTGTGATCCTTCGTATATAGCAGGTAAGCGCTCTGCCCCGTGCAGTATCCTCAGCCTTTCCTTTTATTTTGAAAGTGTCACTAAATCGTCAGCATAGGCCCTGAACTTTTAGCTCTCCTTGCCTGGGCCTCTCCTCCCAAGCAGCTGGGAGGGGGAGGGGAATGTCACTAGACCCCATTTCCTGTAGGCTTATCTTTGGAAAGTCCTTTTTACTAGGATCCCTTGCTATCTCTCCAAATTGGCTTGTTTGCTTTTTCCGGACATTCCAGAAACATCAAGCCTTGCAGAGCAGGGGATAGTAAAGTGAGGAGTACAGTTTCTTCATTTTGAGATTCTATTAACATAACATACATGTCATAAATGTAAATGCCAATGGGAACGCAAGTAGACTTTCAATCTACTCCTAATCAGAGTTAAATGGTTTTTGCTTTTATTACAGTTGTTTTCATGGTGCTCTCTCTTCTCTGAAGTCCAGATAGCACTTTTAACTGTGCCCTTCCACCCCTACACATCCAGTCCTGGGGCTACCGAGGTTAGTCCTATCTAATCCCAGTCATTAACCCACCGTTCCAGATCAGGGTACTGTGTATGACTTCACACTTCAACTAGCCACTATCAAAGGCCAGAGGGGGCTCAGATCGGTCTAGTTTCTAGGTTATTTTCATTTTTAGTACCATGGAATTCCCCCATCTTAAATGGCTGCCTCTGTAAAGCCATGTTATAAATAAGGCTAGGTAGCTAGCTTATTTTCTATTATTATTTTATTCACCATTATTGTCTGGCTAATGAAAAATTTAAGTCTATCATTTTGCCGGCCCCAGGAGGGGAAACGCATTTAAGTATTTTTCATCGGCACAAAAGACAAGTTTGAGGATTAAAAAAAAAAAAAAGAAAAGAAAAAAAAAATGATAGTAACCCATGACGTGCCGAAGCGGTTCTGGGATGCACGACTGTTCCCACCAACCACCCTCCAGCCTGGCTTTGCTGTGGGTAGGCCCTGCTTCTCTCCGGTGGAATGTTCTAGAACTCTCTCGGCAGGCCTAGCTTGTTCGCGTAAAGCCTGCAGACACTCGCGCGTTACAACTGAAACTCCGGGCGGGAAGAAATAGTGTCCCATGTTGGCCACTGTGTCTGTTGTACCTGCAAATGCAGGCCCTCTTTTCATCTGAAAGGGGAAAACAAACACACACACACCCAGAAGGATCAGGAAGGAAGCCGGCCCTGGCCGCTGGCCGCGCGGCGCCCCAGCCTGTCGCCTGCCGCCTGCCGCTCCTCCATGCGGCAGGGAGAGAGGCGTCAAGGGCCGGGCCGGGCGGCACTGGCGGCCGCTTCCTATTTCCCCCCGCATTTCGTTCCTTTTAAGCGCCATGGCCAGGCCTTCGGGACGGGGACAACCCTATGCACCCCAGGCGCCGTCCTGCGGCCGCGAACTAAGCGCACGTCTCCGGGCAGAGCCGAGCGGCTCTCGGGGCGGTGCGCACTCGCGTCTGGGGTGGCGCGAGCCCGCGCGCGGAGCCGCCCCGCGTGGACGCGGCCTAGCACGGCGCCGGGCACCGTCCGTCGCGCATGCCCCGTGCGCACCCCTCACGCACCCGCGTGGGCGGCGTGGGCCCCCCCGGCCCCCCCTGCGTGGGCCGAGCGCCGCCGCCCATTGGCTGAGGCCCGCCACGCGGCCGGCCACGCACAGCCACCCCCGGGCCCCCCGCCCGCCATGCCTCAGTGACTCGGCGACCGCGGCCTGGCTCGCTTCGGGCTCCGCTGTCTCCGCGGCCTTCGGCTCTCCGTCCACCGCCGCCCCGGCTCCTCGGCCGTTGGAGGCCAGGCGCCCCCCCCGCAGTGCTCCCCACAGCCGCCCGCCGCAGCCTCCGCTCCGCCTCGACGCTCTTCGCCCCAACTCCGGCCGCCATCATGGTGAGTCGAGGCCAGGCCCCGGAGGGGCCGGGGCAGGAGCGGCCGGAGGCCGCGCGCCTCCCACGGACGGTGAAATTGTCCTCCGCGGAGCACGGAGAAGGCAGGGGTGGAGGGCAGGAGGGGGCCTCACTTCCGGTGCCCCCGACCCCCGGGCACGGCCCCCGCTGAGTGCGGCCTACGGGCACAGACGGGCGGCCCGGACATGGAGGGAGGCCGGGACATGGCGGGAGGCCGGGACATGGCGGGAGGCCGGGACATGGCGGGAGGCCCGGATATGGCGGGCGGCCGGGACATGGCGGGCGGCCGGGACATGGCGGGAGGCCGGGACATGGCGGGCGGCCGGGACATGGCGGGCGATGGCGGGCGGCCCTCGGGCTGCCCCAGCTGGGCCGCGTGCGCCACCTGGGCGTCGCGCGCCGCGTCTTTCCCGCCTTCGGGCCGCGGCCGCCCAGCCCCCACCGGGCCGTGGCTTCCGGGGCGGGGCGGGACGGCGCGGGCTGCTCCACCGGGTGGCGCCGGCCTGGGGCGTCCTAGCGGCAAACGCTGGAGGCTCGAGGCCGCCATGGGCGAGGCCTTGTTGGGAGCGGCGCCTCAGGGTGCGCCGGCGGCTCTGCGCAGGCGTGCGTGCGTGCCCTGCGTGCGTGCCTGCCTGCGTCCTTCGGGCTAGAGGAGCTGGCGGCCAGCGAGGACATTGCGAGTTCCACGTTGAGTCGCAGTAGCCGTTGAGTCACAAGCCTGTTAATTTGTGTTTATGTCCATTTATACATGTCCCTTTTTTTCCAGTCACAATCCTGTTAATTTGTATTTGTGTCCATTTATACATGTCCTTTTTTTTCCATTTTAGGGGTCCGCGGAGAAAATCTCTCTGATTTGTGACGAATGATAAAATTGAGTTGGACAGTTAATGTAAATGTTTGGAGACATTAGTAGTTGTCCATCATCATAATTAAAATCCCAGTATCAGAAGAAATACTGTGGACAGTTTTCTCTCACGACTAGATTTAGAAATATGATTTCTCTCACTACTAGATTTAGAAATTTGATGAGTGCAGACTTCATCTTGGCCAATATTTGTAACATACGTGGCAGTTTGCTTAGCATGGTGATTTAATTAAATTTTGGCGACATGGTCCTAGAATTTTTAGTAACAGTATGCTCAGCTTATATCTATTTTTGATGTGTGGGAGGGTATTCAAGTGTAATGGGATGTTGCTGTACTGTGGAGTTTGCGTATGATAGCCTTCAAGTTCATTGTTGGTGTCCTAATATTTCTCGATTACAATTCATTTACAGGTAGAATTGATAAAACTTTTTCTTACACTTAATAGTTTGTTTTTAATATGCTATATTATATCCTATTCATGGACAACTTTCCTACCAGATTCAGTATATTTTGTGGATAATCTCAACTACTGAGTGGCGGGCACAGATGCTGAGGCAGGAGGATCACTTGAGCCCCTCAGAAATTTCAGGATAACCATCCAGGCCAACCTTGGCAACATGAGACACTGTCTTTTAAGTAATCGTACTAAAGAGGCAGGTGGAACTCCATGAGTTCGAGGGCAACCTCAAATATCTACATAACAAACTTCAGGCCCACCAATTACATACATAGTAAGACCAGACTTTAAATAAATGAACTTTAGAAGTTACACTATCTTGAACATTAAATTTTGGCTTAGTGATTATTTGGTTGTAGAGAGTTTTTTTGGTCATGTATAAAAAGTAAAGCATCTATGGGTTATGGGTGTTAAAGATGGTAACACTAAATGAAGCATACAGTAGGCACTGTGGTTCAGAGCTTGGTAAAATGGAGGGCTCTGCTTTGTTAGCTTTGAGTGCCACCTACTGGATAAGGGCCAGGATATATGGTGTGCCTTCCTGAATTTAATACATTATTATACTATTAAGATGAGATGAACTTTATACTTATTCTAGTTAAGCAGGAAGCCTAAGCCCAAATCTAGTGTCCTGTAATAATTGATGCTTTACTTTCCTCCTTATTAAATTGTCTTCAAACATCCATTTTACTTTTGTGTAAAGAAAAACAATTAGACATTTGAGATCTTTTCTAATTACTTAATTTTCAGTCAAGGAAATCAAGATCCCCAAAACAGTTGCTTTATTGAACAATGAAAAATGAAGTTCTTCACAACAGTTTTTTCTTCTTCAATTCTAATGATACCATACATAAAAGGATTTTCAGTACATACTTATACAGGTTTTGGTTCCAGCAATCCTTTGCTGTGTGTGTGTGGGGGGGGGGGGTTATTGGCATTAAGGGATTTTGAAGTAGAATCTCTGGCTGTTTACCTACCAGAAGTTTACCTCACTGGTGATACACAGAAATGTCTCTCTAGATATTAAATGTCCTTGTAGCACTGAGAACTTAGCATTTAGAACTTCTTAAACTCTGACACAGTTAACTGGTGAAATAGTACACCTCTGTATTAAAAAGCATCCTGCATTGTGGTACAGACACTAGTAATAAAAATTATTTATCAAACTGTCCTATATTCATTCATAAAAGATGGGTAAATTAAGAAAATTTGTAAAACCACTCTTTCATGTTTTGAATGAAAAAATTTAGAAGAGGTGGATTATCTATTAGGAAAGCAAATGTAGTCAAGTTCTAAATAGTTGAAGATACATAGCATATGTAGTAATCCCACTTAGAAAAAATTGTAAGACATCAACAGAAGGGAAAACCTTATTTTCACTTCCTGATATTTCACTGTCATGAAATATCACTGTTGAAGGGAATTTACTGGTAAAGGAATAAGGTTGTTCTTAAGGATACAAAATAATGAGCTTAGATGGATAGAGAAATAAAAGGTGATTTGACAATTTCATTTCCAAAATTTTTATAAAATTAACCTTTGAAAAACAAATCGTAACTTTTAGCTTTTTAGTATATATAATACACAAATAATATATATACTAGCATTCTCTTAAAACCTTTAGTATTACCCTCCTATTAATCAGTTTTATTAATGAATTTTGAGTAGATGTATCATATATTAGTTTACTAAAGTTCTGGTAGTTAATAAAGTGCTTGTAAAACGTAAGCTGTGATAGTAAAAATTTAACCCTTTTCTAATAATACACTGAAAAATAAATGCAAATACAGGACACTAACTCATATTAGCACATTTATAGTTTACAAGATAAGTTTAGCAATGTTAGTCATTTACAGAGAATTTGCCCAGGTGTACCTTCAGCAGGTATGTAATTTATAACTTAGTGTAAGGTACATGAATCTAGGTGTCTGGACTAAGTGCTTTGTTGTATTGCCTCTACTATACACATATTTTCCCAGTAAGTTTGCTTTAGGAAAATTCATGGTAACCATTTAGAGTCTATTGTGTGAAGATTGAATACAATGTGGATCAAAATCCAGAAAACAAATGAGTTGTATGTATTGGCTTTTTTATTTGAAAACAAAAGATGGTATTATTTCTATTAACCTACTGATCTGGTGTTAGACAAAGTAAAATGACTTATATAAGAGATATTTTGTTGGGGGTTTTGAACTGCTGCTTTATTTTGGGTTTTTATGTGCATTTGATTTAACATACTCTATAAAATGAAGGTTTTATTAGTATATCCATAATGATTTTAGTAGTTTTAGTCTTCACAGATCTGAACTTTCCATCCAGTTCATCAAATACAGCATTTTCATATATTGTATGAAATAATTGTTATTGTTCCACAGTATAGTATGAAAGATGACCTGTGGGGCTGAAGAGATGGCTCAATGGTTAATGCTATTCTTGGAAAAGGACCTTTGCCAGCTCAAAATTGTAGCTTCAGTTCCAGGGAAATCCTGCTCCCTCTGGCTTCTGCAGACACTAGACATACACATGGTGCACATAAGTGCAAGCAGGCAAAACACACACAGATTAAAAACCAAAATGGAATGTGCTGTCTTAGTGCTCTATTGCTGTGAAGAGATCACAGCAACTCATAAAAGAAAGCATTTCATTGGGCCTGAACAGTTTCAGAGGTTTAGTCCATCATCATCATGACAGGAAGTATGGCAGCACTCAGGCGGAAGTGATGCTGGAGAAGTAGCAAAGAGTTTCACATCTGTCCCCAGGCATTAGGAAGAGGGAGTCCCTCAGCCTCTCTCAAAACCCATCTCCAAGTTGGGCGGGTGGTGAATGCTTTTAATCCCAGCACTTGGGAGGCAGAGGCCTGCCTGATCTACAGAGTGAGTTTCAGGACAGCCAAGGTTACACAGAGAAACCCTGTCTCAAAAAAAACAAAAAAGCCCAACTCTAGTAACAGGGTTCCTTCAACAAGGCCATATACACCTTTTTTAATGGTAACCAAGCATTGAGAACTGTGAGTCTATGGGGGCCATTCTTATTCAGATGACCACACTTGTTTTAAAAAAGATGACACTGAGAAGCATCATATTTCAGAAAGTACTATATCCTTTTTTAAAATTTCCACTCCAGTTCTCTGCTAATTGCTTTAAGTCCTGAAGCTAAGCTGTATTGACATGGGTAATGCAGAGTAACACTAACTTACGTTAAATACAAAAGGTATGTTTCACATAGTTTGTCGTGAGTGTGTATTTTAATTGTCTGTTTTCTAAATTACAGTCTGCTACAACTCCTGAGACTGCAAATTCAGCTGTCTCCAGGGAGGCCAGTACCCAGTCTTCATCAGCAGCCACCAGTCAAGGATATGTTTTGCCAGAAGGCAAAATCATGCCAAACACCGTTTTTGTTGGTGGAATTGATGTTAGGGTATTGTATTCATAATTTATTTATACTTCAAAATACATGGTAAAGCCATGTATTTGGGTGGGGAGAGGAGGTTGGAGGAGTGCTTGGGCCTAGGACTTTAAGAGGAGCCCTGGCATCATATTTGAGAGGCTTGATAAATTTTAATTATTCAAAATGTTGTGGATGATGGGATTTGATGTGTAGACCTAAAAGGAGTGTTTTAAATTGTATGTGGGTTTGGTTTTAACCCACTGAGACTAAAAATACACTCAACAAAGTGGAAGAATTTAGAGATACCAGAGATTGACTTGCACATAATTAAATATCTCTTCGTGATTCAATTAGAAGTCTTGCTTTATTTTTACTCTTGAAGTTCATTTCTTTTCATAGATGGATGAAACCGAAATCAGAAGTTTCTTTGCCAGATACGGCTCAGTAAAAGAAGTGAAGATAATCACTGATCGAACTGGTGTGTCGAAGGGGTATGTAAACACACTTGCTATAGCTACTGTTTATAGAGCTACACATGACTGGAGAGGTGCCTGAGTAACAGGCAAGACTCCAGTGGGCATTCTACCATTAACTAAATTGTCACTTTTATAATTTATTTTATGGCTAAAGTAATTTCAGTATTTTCTACCTTTTATTTCACACAAATGGGTTATCAAATAATTATTTTCTTGGCACATTTCCACAGTATCTTCAATTTTAGCTGTCTTCCCCTAGATAATCTTTGTTAATTAATGCTAATATTAGCACATACTGACATATTAGACCAAGAAAGCAAAGGAGTTATAGAGGCTCTGTTATCTATCTCTCGACATGTTTATCACAGTATATTCATCTTCCATTATCACCATTTCTGCTATTTTATAGAATGTTAGAAGATCTAAACTGGTACCATGTAGTTATTTTGTATTTCATTTATCTGCCTTTCTAGCTATGGATTTGTTTCATTTTATAATGACGTGGATGTACAGAAGATAGTAGAAGTAAGTAATAGTCTTAAAGAAAACTCTTAGAATTGAAAAGTGCTGAATATTCAGTCTTATAAAATACAGAGAAAAATAGGCTTCCTTTCTGTTTAAAATCAAAATATTCTTAGGTAACTTCACAAAACCTGCTTGCTTGGGGGCATCTAGCTTAATCAACTAGAGGCAGTTAGAAATGGATGAACGACTTTACTAAATTTAACTTGATGCTTTGGGACACTTTGATTAGAATTGTAAGGCTGTGTACAGTATTTGCCCAAGTCTTGGAAATGAAGGATTAAATTATCATTTGTTACTGTTTTTAGTCACAGATAAATTTCCATGGTAAAAAGCTGAAACTAGGCCCTGCAATCAGGAAACAAAATTTATGTGAGTAAAAACAGAAATTGTACTTGATGAAACTGCTTAGATTTTCAGAGAACTTCGATGTAAGTTTTGCTCTTTTTATTTTTTTTAAGGTGCTTATCATGTGCAGCCACGTCCTTTGATTTTTAATCCTCCTCCACCACCACAGTTTCCGAGTGTTTGGAGTAGTCCAAATGCTGAGACATACATGCAGCCTCCAACCATGATGAATCCTATAACTCAGTATGTTCAGGTAAAAACAGCTGCATCCTTGTTAGGTTTGTTTAATAGTTTCTGAACTTTGAAATCATATGCATGGTTTAGATGTTAAGTGTAATACTGTCCAGTCTTTATTGGAATACTTAAAATATGAGGAATTTGTTCCTTTTGTTTACACTCATTCTTACTGCTTTTTTCCTTATGCTAAGCTGAATTTTGCCTCTGTGTTCTTTGTAAGCCTTTTATCCTTGGTAGCCACATTAAATATCCTGTTATTCCACAGATTACCTTTCAGACACGTAGAAAAAGTATATAGAAAGAATTTTACTATTTTTCTTTGTTGGCAAAAAAGTCTCAAATTGAAAAGTTGTTTAAATGTTCAGAAACAGCTTTGTATGTCCTTTTAGTTGATTGTTTCCAAAGATGATCAGTTCATCTGTGTTTCACCTGCAGTGATTTCCAAATGCCTCCTCGTGCATAGGTTGTTGACACCTAGGTTTATTTTAGTTCTAGAACTGTTAGGTTTTATTGGTTTAATATTTAAATTTCATGCTTACTATGCCTATTGATGCTAAATAACATTCTTGGTACATTTTACTTTTTCAATTTGAGAGACTTTTTGGCCAGAAAAGAAAAAGAATAATAAAATCCTATTTTTTTCTTCTGTATGTGACACCTTTCCTTATTTTTCTGGCTCCAAATATGACTTAGAAGAAAATCCATACTTATTTCTAACATTTACTGTGTATCATTACTGATAAGTATTGAAAAACATTCATTTAATCCCTTGTAGAAATCAAACACAGAAAAATCATAAGGCTGTAGAAAAATATTTGTTCTGTTCACCTTGCTATGAGTATATATTCTGTGACGGCATTTAACAGCAGATGTATGTATTCAACTCCCCATAGAACTGCATAGTCAGGGTATGGTCTCTTCCTAAGGTGAATATTTTCACAAAGAAACAGAAATGTATGTGTTTAACTCCCCATAGAACTATATGTATATGATGGGTTGGAGAAGCAAGTCACTTAACATTGTCTTTTTCTCCTTCCTGTGCAACAGGTTATCAATTGATAAGGAGTATTTTCTTCATACAGCCAGTAATTTAGAGTCCTCAGTTTATATATAGAAAAAGAAAATTGCATTTTTTTTGTTGTATTGTGAATGATACTCTTTCTCATTCTCTCAAATTTATTTTATAAAGCCAGTTTTTCTGTGAACTTTATTCCCAGGCATACCCTCCTTATCCAAGTTCACCAGTTCAGGTCATCACTGGATATCAGCTGCCTGTTTATAATTATCAGGTATTTTTTCCTTTAATTGAAAATATACCCTGATTATGGTTTCCCCTTTCTGTACTCCTCACAGTCTCTGTTCCCCTTGATCCTGTTCAGGTTCACGCCCTAAAAACAGCCTTCTATGGTGTCTTAGTGTTCATTGCTGTGAAGAGACACCATGACCACAGCAATTCTTACAAAAGAAAGCATTTAATTGGGGGCTGGCTTACAGTTTTTGGAGGTTTAGTTCATGCAGGGGAATTAGCTGAGACTTTATATCTGGTCGATAGGCAGCAGGAAGAGATAGCCCCAGGTCCTGGCATGGGCTTTTGAAAACCCTGAAGCCTACCCCTAGCAACACACTTCTTCCAACAAGGTTATACCACATAATCCTTTCAAATAGTGCCATTCCCTGGTTACCAGGTATTTAAATATGTGGGCCTATGGGGACATACTCATTGAATCCACCACAAAAGGAGTAACAAAGTACAATAAGAGAAAAACTACCCTAACAAAATTGAACGGGGATGGGGGCAAGAAAGAAGGAACAGAGCCCAAGAAGTCTCAAGAGTTAGAGATCCATTTGTTCTTACACTCAGGAATATCATACATAACATTAAACTGGAATCTATGATATACAGGCAGAGGACCTATAAATTCTACATCAGTCCCTGAGAGTTTTATATGTGCTTTGATCATGTTGATTTAGAGGGTCTTGTGTCCTCCATCCAATTTGGCTCACACTCATTCTGCCTCCTCTTCTGCAGGGTTCCCTGAGCCCTAATGGGAGAGGAATTTGAATTATCAAATAATTTAAGCAAATATAATATAACTTTGGGATATTATTATGGTCTGTCTTCCTATGAAATTGCTGCATAGTGTGCTGTTTAACATACCAAAAATTAAATGGAAATAGAATTAGTCTATAATTTTATTTTTGCTAAATACCTGATGAGTTCAGGCTGACTTACAAGTTTTTATAGAATAGGTTGAAATAAAAATACTACCCAGTGCTTAGCGCATCAAATTCTGATTGATAGTGTATAATTTTACTAGATGCTACAAAATAGTAGTTCCACGAAATTCTTCCAATAGATGTGATCATATTAATGACATATGACCATAGCTGTAGTAATAATTTCCAAGTGCTACTGTCTTCAAATTTTCCTGAATGCCAGCTTCCAATTGAGAAAATGGGAGGTTTATATTTGGAAGAAACAGAAACATGCGTAGATAAAGGAAACATAAATGTACCTGTCTTTGGTTCTGTTTTATAATAAGAAATTAACAGTCAGTGTGATAAACATAATTAACATTGTCTTATCGCCTTTTTTGTAAAAATGTATAGGTGTTTAAATAATCTGTGTTTCCTTTTCTTAAGATGCCACCGCAGTGGCCGGCTGGGGAACAGAGGAGTTATGTTATACCTCCGGTAAAACGAATTAGCTGAACATATCTGCTTACTCTTATACTTTTTCTAATATATTGCTTTTTCCATATTGTACATGTATATAAATATTTTAATTGCCTTTTTTGTTATGAATTTTATTATGTTTTTTTAATCTCAGTCATAGACTCTCATGAGAAACTGCTTTTTGTTTTTTACACTATTTTTTTTATGCCTGCTCAATGGCTGCTTCATATACAATAAATTTTTGGTTACTTGCTGGCATGATGTATAAGTCAAAGAAAGTAGTATTAAATATTAGATTCATAGTTAGCATTTGGTCTTCTTGGAATCTGCCTCCCTCTGACTTTGCAACTAAAAGAAAATAATACAGGAGAGAAACATTTTCTTCATTAATATTATAAAAGGAATAAAAGGTGATGTTACCTGTAAAATAGCCAAGCTTCTGTTAGCTAACTTCCATAAAGATTGGATACTTGAAAAATATACCAGTTGAATTCTTGGGTACTCCGTGTTACTAAATGTTACAGATATTTCAACTCATACTGATTGATGTTGACAGATTATGTTTTTAAACAAAAGACTTAATATCAGCCATTTAGTATAAAACAGTTTCTGAAATAGTAGCTTAGCCTTTTGAAGAATGACTTATAAGTATGTTATGTTTCTTGTTGGTTATACTTTTTCTTATTATTTAAATATAGGCTTATACAACTGTTAACTACCACTGCAGTGAAGTTGATTCAGGAGCTGACGTTTTGCCAAATGAATGTTCAGTTCATGAAGCTACACCAGCCTCTGGAAATGGCCCACAAAAGGCAAACATCTAATTTTGTTTACTGGTTTTTATATTTAGTTTTTATTACATTTTTATATTAATGATGATTCTTGGAGTAGACCTATTTACCCAGATTTAAAAATGAAAGTTAAAACCTGCATTGTTTAGGAAAATTAACTCTGCAGTTAATGTACAAGACATACCAAACCTTGAGAGTTTCTGATTCCTTTGTCATATTCTCTCTTCTAAGTACATTTTTCTTAAATTATTTTAGTTACTCTTCTGTAGTATGACTTTGTAGAATTCAGTGTATGAATTATATTTGCCGTGTTTTTAAAATTTTTTATTTAAATAGTATGTATTTATGGTATTGTGATATATATGATTTTAGCTTTTAAAATGGTGATTATTTGATACTGAACTAGACAGTCGTTTCTTTAATCATATTCTCACCCCAAAATTCTAATTCATATTGTTGAATGAATAATGCAGTTGAAATGTTGGGAATGAGTGCAATGAAAGATTTCACTGGAGCGATCCCTCATCTCTGTGTTAGTGGGGGAAAAAAGGAAAACAGCTGAACAATAAGATAGGATAACAAATTGCTTTATTTCATGCAGTCTTAAAATTTAAAATAAGGGCACAGTGATGTAAAACTGTAATCCTAGCATTTTGGAGGTAGAGGGGTAGAAAGAAAATGAGTTCAAAACTAGCCTTGGCTACATAGAAAATTTGAGGAAAGCCTAGGGTAGCATAAGACTCGGCCTCAAAAAAAAAAAAAAAAAAAAAAAAAAAAAAAAAACTTCACACACATAAATATACATATAAATTTAAAATAGCTTGCTCTGCAATTATACTAACAGATATCACCCCGAATACTTGTTTTTTAAATACTGAAAGTCTTGATTCCTTCTGTAATAGGAAAAATAAATGCTTCAAGAAAATACCACAATTTTAATAAATATACTGACTTAAATTTGCTAAGATACTAAAACATTAATTTAGGAAGACTATATAAAATAAACAATTAGTGGTAAGAATTTGACATTATGAAAGAATTTCTTAGAAATGTATATGCTCAGTATACTTCCAAAAACCCACTAGCAGTGAGTAAAAGATGTAGTCTTTAAACTTCTGTTTCAGAAGTCTGTGGACCGAAGCATACAGACAGTGGTCTCTTGTCTATTTAACCCTGAGAACAGACTGAGAAACTCTCTTGTTACTCAAGATGATTACTTCAAGGTAGGACAAGAATAGTATGCCGAATAAAATGTGTGTGTATTAACATTGAAACATTATTTTTCCTGTGGTGTATATATTTTATAGTAATTGATTCAAGTGTTTACTATAAACCCTGGTAAGCCATTATGGTGGTTAAGTTTTACCTAGAAGTGTGTTGGATGCTTTGTAAACTTTAGAATAATATAGATTATGTCTTTAGGGAAGAAAAGTTTTCAAAAGGTAAACAGTTCATGAGCTGTTTGGCACATGGCTCAGTGAGTAAAGCACTTACTGAGCAAGTATGAATTTGACCTCAGAATTATATAAATTCCAGGTGGGTTTAGCAGCCTGCCTAGAATTTCAGTTCTCAGAAGCAAAGGCAGGATCCTGAGCAAGCTGTGTAGCCAGCTTAGCCCATATCATGAAGCAATCAGAAAGACTCCAGATGTTAACTTACACAGGTATGCACACAAACACACATGCGCGCGCACGAGACACAAATATACATATAGGGAAATGGGAAAATAATATAAAGGGCTCATTCATGAGAGTTGGCAGAAAAAATAATAACTTGACCACACAGTAAAAGAAAAATTTGAAAGCAGAATATAACTTATAGCTATTGGACTAAAGAGAACAGAACTACTTGATTAATATAGTTGAACATTGTGTGAAGAATGAAAAGGGATAAAACTGAGGAGATTGAAAAAAGTCAAGTGTGAATGAGTTTAGCAAAGATTGGATTTCTAATCTTCTGTCCACATTGTAAAGATCACTTACATTTTAGGACTACAGTTTTGCCTGCCTTCTTTGTGGTGGTTTAGGTTGGGGGTTAGAACTCAGGGACTTGGACATGCTGTAGGCACATGGTTTACAACTGAGCTGTTTTTCCAGTACCAAGACTTCTTACAAATGTAAAATGAGGATGAGTAGAACACAGTTGCTAAGGTCCCTTTAGTTTTGAGGCTGAATATGAAGTCCATTAATTGGTTAGTCCAGTGGAGAGAATATTGCATTCAAGGGGATATTGTTTTGAAAACAATAGGTAAATGATAGGCGTCTAATAAGGATATCATTCAACTCACTTAAAATACATGGTTTCATGGATTTTTAGTATATTTACTTAATTATACAACCACAAGTCAAACTTAAAATGTCTTAGCCATCCCATAAATAAACCTTGTCTACTAGTAGCCAATCTCCATTTCTAATCTCTACACTTAGGTAGCCAGTAAAAGTTATTACCTACCACTTGTGTTTGCAGCATAATGAGTAAAAGATACTCATTTAAAATTGTTTTTTTTTTCTACACAGTGCAATATATAACTGCAGTAGTCAATTTGCCTCAAATTTATAAAGGTGTTAAATGGCTTGTTTGAAAACAAAGTCTTCAAAATTGAGTATTTGGTGATATAAAGAAAACTTCCCTTTGAACTCTAGATATTTCTGCCCCTGTAGTTTAGAATCAGAAATTAATAGAGTAGCCTGCTGTTGTCTGTTATGTGTGTGTGGTGGGGGGAGCTGTTCGTGAATAAGTTAGCATGTTGAAGTTCTTGAGATTCCCAAGTTCTTATCCTCCTGATTACAGAGCAAGCACATGGAGCCATAGACCTATTATTATAATCAACTAGATGCTGATTTTTTTGAAATTGGATGCACTGTTTATTTCCATCAAATTCTATTCTTTGTTTTAACTTCAGCTCCATAATTTTAATTCCTACCTCACCTCTAAAAACCTATATATTTGTAACCACTTTTCTAGGCCCCAACCTAAATGGGACGTTGTCCTGTTTGACAGGCTACATGACAGCTTGTGTACCTGGTGTACATGTGAAGGTTCTGTGGCATTCAGAAGTAGACTTGGTATCTCAGCACCTTACTTTTGAAACAGGATCTTTCACTGAATCTGGAGCTTGTCCATTTAGCTAGGCTGACTGACCTCTGCTGTAGGGATTTACCTGTTTGTGGTTCTACTCTTCTAGTACTGTGCTTATATAGTGCATCTCTAATTCCACTTTTCCAGCCACATAGAAGTCATTCTCTATACATAAGGCAATCTGGTCCCCAGGACAAAGACATGATTAAGCTAGTTGTATAGAAAATAATGCTATTTTATTAATCTACATCTCTGTAAACAACAGAGGAAAGGAAATATTTCTGTATACATCCGTCTTCTGTATCCATGTGCTCCACCCTTGAATTCAATTATGTGCACATATTTTAAATTATATTGAACATATGCAGACTTTTTGTTTTTATTGTTCACAGTGCAGTAAAACTTTCCATATTAGGGAGAACAGTGAGAAATTTAAAGTGTACAGAAAGATTGCCAGTATATATGCAAACACATAATTTTATATAAGATATATGAACAATTCTTAGGTTTCCATATCCGTGGGGAAGTGTGTTCCTAGGACCAATTCCCTTGAAAAACATTTTAAATTTCCTTACCTTCATTTCATAAAGAATGATACATTCTCACTGATTAAAGATAAGCCTTAAATAGACAAGATTTAGAGCTTTTAATCAAAGTGAAGGATTACAATTTGAAATAATGTGCTTCTCTCAAATAAGGTTTCCATCAGATGCAATTGTTAATAAAAACAATAGAGGTAGTAGCTTGTTTTTGTTGTTTAGTTTTCTCTTAATTGTATACTGGTGCTTTGCCTGTGTGTACATCTGCACTACTTATGTGTCTGGTGCCCACAAAAACCAGATATTATCTGGTCCTCTGGAACTAGAGTTAACAGTTTGTGAGCTGAAACATGGGTGGAAGTTCCATCCATATCCTCTAGAAGAATAAGTGCTCTTAACCACCAGACCAATACTCCAGACCCAAGCCTGGGGGTTACTTTGTTGTTTTGTTGGATGGCAAGATGGCTCAGCAGGTAAAGGCATTTGCCATCAAGCCTGATGACCTGTTTAATCCCTGAAACCTACATATGGTGCAGGAGAGAAACTAACCCTGCAAATTGTTCTCTTGGCTTCCACATGGGCTATGGCACATAGGTATGTATGCATGTTTGCACATACAAATTCTAGTGAAAAATATTAATACTTTTAAGAATTACATTTTCCCTTAGCTGTCATTATCATTAATTATCTAAAATGCTACTAATTTTAATCCTTATTTCTGAATTAACTGGGATTCCTTTTAAATTTTGTCATAATAAAGCCTTGCTGGTTGGTGAGCTTATTGTTTTAGAGTTCCACCAAATACTCCCCTTTTTCTAATTTCCTATACTTAAATTTAAGCCACACATTATTTAATAATCATAGATCAGTAGTGGTATGGTAGTAAGGAATTTTAAATGATTTACAATGACTTTTTTTTTGTTTCTTCTAGGATAAAAGAGTGCATCACTTTAGAAGAAGCCGGGCAGTGCTTAAATCTGATCATCTCTGCTAACTTTCTAGTCTCATGAGGATGTTGGTGTTGAGTATTAAGAGACAGAAAGGTTTTCACTATTGCAGAAATTTTGACAAATCACACTCAGACTTTCTATACAAGTTAGATTAGATTGCCTAGTTTTATGTTGAATCTGTTCATTAGATGTTTATATAGAAACTGTTTTGTGTTCACTATATAGTTGAAAAAAATAATTGCAAGTAAAAAAGGACAAAAAATAATTTTCAAATAATTGAAAAATAGCTAAAAGGAATAACTTTTAAGACTTAAGGACTTTTAATTGAAATTGGCATTTTAAGAATTCAAAAGCAAGTACTAATTTTCAAGAAAAAGATTTTATAAAACTATTTTGAAAGGTCAGGATTTTGATAGTTTGACTACAAGCATTTCACTTCTCAACAGGTACCTGAACAGTACAGTATTGTGCTTTACATTTATTATTTGTCTAAACATTTGCCACAAGAGCAGAATTTTTAGAACTGCATTTTTTAATCAGTGGAACTCAATATATAGTTAGCTTTATCTAAACCCAGGAAAACAGATTCTTAACAGTCCAATCAGTGGGTCTTACTTTTATACAAAATATTTTACCCTTTATCTAGAATCCACACATATGCACATATCCTATTTATTTGGTTGGGATGGTAATTAGGATATCTAAAATTCTGGGTATAATTTTGTTTAAAGAATCCGAGACAAACTAAACTTTGCTAGGTATATAAGCTATTTTCAGTGAGTTGATACTCTCATTTTCTTAAAATGCTAAACTCAATGGCTGTCTTAAAATTGTGCAAAATACTGGTATTAAAGAGTGCTGAAAATTTTTTATGTCACTTAAATTGAATCAGAGTATCTGAAAGAAATTTTTATAAAAACATTCAAAATATAAGTTGTTACAAAGTAAATAGATCTTTAGTTTTATTAGTCTGTTGTATTTCCTTTTGTAGAGTACAATATGTCCAAAACAGTCAAAGTAGGTCATTTTGACATTTCTAAACCACAAAATTTGTTTCGTAATTGTTTCCCAAGAATGTGGTAATTAATCTGATTTTAAATTTGATGATGTCTTCATTGGACATGATGCATCGTGACAGCAGAAACCCTTTGTGCCCACAGTCATTTGTAATCTGTACTCCCATTCTGTCAGATTTGTTCCATGGTATAAAGTAGGCAAGTAACAGTTATGAGTTAGCTGTTCAGGGGCTAAGCCTAATGAATGTAGCACTGGGGACAGTACCTTCCTAAAGGAAACATTGGATGGACATTACCTGACCTGCCATGGACATGAGTTTTTAAATGCCTGGTTGGCCTGTCTTGTATTAGCCCTTCCCTCAAACATAGAGATTCCACTTAACCCTAACTTAATGGACACCGTGGGTTGTGTCACAAGTGTCCATAATGATCTGTAGCTCTTAATTCTGTATCTGAAGAACACCATATTTTTAAGTTACCAAGAGGTCAGTATACCAGAAAACTAGGAAGTGTCCTGAAATTTCTTTTTATCTGTCCCTTGTTTATTTCAGTATATTTGTATTTTTTATGTGTGTTCTATTCTTACATGTACCACTCAGTGATTAAATCTCCAGCTTACTATGAATGATACCCTAAATTCTAAAAGGAATTGTAATTGTGCTGTATGGCTTTAAGGAAAAGTAAGGGAATAAACTTTCATCTGCTGTTCTGTTGGAGTCAAGTATTTAAGAGAAGAAAGAAAAGTACTGAACCTTTCAAAATGGAAGATTAATTTTAAACTTAAAAGTATGTTCCTATTACCTATTGCTGATACTGTCTTTGCATAAATGAATAAAGGTTTTTTTTCAAAAATACCACTTATTGTCATATCTAGAAATGATATGGGAAATTTTGGGGGACAATGTGATAACTAACTGCAATTAAAAATTGTAAATAGCTTCTTAAGTTGGCAGCTAATTTATTATAATCTGAGACATTTTCTTAAGAAATTAAGTATATGTGTATACAAACTTACATGTGTGTAGATAATATATACTTGCACATGTATGTACATGCCCTAGTCACTGTTAATTGCTGTGAAGAGGCACCATGACCAAGGCAGCTTTTTTAACATTTTATTCTTTGTGGATTTCACATCACACAACCTGACCCATTCATAACCCTGTCCTTTCATATGTCCTCTGTCCTTGCAATCTCCCCACCAAAAGAAAAGATCTTGTCATAGAAGCTGTAGTGTGACACATGAGTCGCATAGTATACCCTTTAGTCCATACATTGTAATTAGTCCTTGGTTTGGTTTGAGGCTTCTGGCTTCTGTTGGGCCCTCACTGGGACTCTTCTTGGATAGCCTGTGGCCATGTCATGGAGACCCTGCAGCTTTGGATCTCTTAAGACAGGCCTCTGATGAGGTGGGTGTTGGGGTATGCTAACTCATCCCTGGTTCTGGGGTTGGGTAGTTAGGATGTTCAGCCTGCCAGCTTTCCCTCAGGCAGGCTTTCCAGCACTTCCATGGCTAGCTCACTCTGCAGCAAGGGACAGCTGGCTCTGCTCTCAAGTCGTGGGGGCCAGCTCTCCTGCCTGCTGCAGATGGTAAAGGGCAAGGGGGGGGGGAGAAGGCATCCTTCCCTCACCCATACCACCACCCGCAGGTGACAGGGTGGGGTCAGCTCTTCTGCTGTTAACACCCTAGGGCTGGCTTGCACACCTCTACCAACAAGGTCAGCTCTTCGTGCTGCCCAGGTGAGGTTCAGGGCCTGCTCTCTTGAGTGCTGCAGTTGGTGAGGGGAAGAGGTGAGGGGCAGGGCCAGCTCACCTGCACCCTGGCTGGCCAACAGCTGGTGGTCTTTCCACCCAAGACAGGCAGTCCCAGGTGAGTGTCAGTGGCTGGACAGGCACTGACCAAGCCAAATCTTAGAAAGCATTTAATGGGACTTGCTTAATTTTAAGAGGTTTAGTCCTTTATCATGGTAGAGAGCATTGCATCATGCAGGGCTTGGTCCTGGAGATGTAGCTGAGAGCTACTGATCTGCTCGCAGATGAAAAGCTTTGAAGCTTCAAAAGCACACTGTCCCCAATGACACTTTCTCCGACAAGGCCACCCCTCCTAGTTCTGCTCAAGCATTACAACAGCCAGGAACTAGACATTCAAATGTATGAGCCTGTGGGGTCCATTTGTTTTATTTTTAGTTTTTTGAAACAGTTTGTATATCCTTGACTCTGCTGGAACTAGCATGACCACCTTGAGGTGACTGACATGATCCGTTCTGTCAGGCCTGAGGTGACTGACATGGGATCAGGTATGCAAGGACAGCTAGTGGTGACCAAGGGTAGGATGGTCTCAGCTCAAAGGTCTGAACTCTTAGCTTTGACTGAAGGCACTCCTTTGGGAAAAACAAGGCTATCACCAAATATGCTGATAACTGATAAGCTTTCACCACAGCCCATGTCCATCAGGCCCTATAGGAAAGAAGATCGATAACCACAGCAAGAAAAGAGCAAAAGTAGACAAGCCCAGCCTGGTCTACAGAGTGAGGTCCAGGACAGCCTCCACAGGTACATAGAGAAACCCTGTCTCAAAAAGCAAAAAAACAACAAAAAAGAAACCTTAGGCCTATTAGAATCTTACTGATTACCCAAGAGGATGGCCACTGTCATTGCAAAGGACTCCCAGGAGGGGATTTCCCAGAAGGGGAACAGAACAGCTGACTTGGCTGAGCAGGAAATAGCAGATTCTCGTAACTCTCCAGGAGCCCAGTTATCAGACTGGACCACCTGAAATATACCCAGGGGTGAGATTGAGTGGGTGAAACAAGGTCTGGCCAAACAGGATAAACAAGGATGATGGATGCTACTGGATGACAGAGCATCCTTCCTGAGAGTCTGGAAAGGCCACCAAGCCCCTAGGGACCACAAAACCGCCAAACTCCTCAGACCCAATACAAGCTTTGCAGAAAGATCTCCAGCCTAGGGACCAGACTTTGAAGAAAATCCTGCTGTTTCCACCTCTGAACCTGCCCAACAGTTCCAACCAGGAGACTCGGTTTGTAAAGAGGATCCCTGTCCTTACCCTGGACCCTATCTAGAAGGGACCCTACCCAGCCATGCTCACCACTTCAACTGCTGACAAAGTAGCTGGTGCCATTCCTTGAAGAAGAAAGAAAAAAAGCCACTGAGGACAACAGATGGTTTGTCACTTGGATCTCAGATCCATAAAGATAAGACTGGCAAGAGTTTACTAACGTGTGTATTACATAATCCCCACCAGCTAAACCTGAACATGGGAATTCAGAAAAACTTGGTATGGAAAACACTTTTGGGTAGACCTCTGCTCTCTTCTGTTTCCTTCAGTGGTGGAACAATGCAGGTCTAGGGGAAGGATGGGGTCAGTAAATCAGGTTATGAAGACTGGCTAGACAAAAGGCCTCAGGAACTACAATTTTATGTTCTGCCAGGGACGAGCTACCTGCTTCATGTCCTCAAATTACCTGGCTTGCTTGTAATAATGGTTTGATTAATGTGTCTCCTCTGACTCATGGGAAAGTCACAGCCCCACTCTGTGCATACTGGTCTCTGTTATCCCCCAGGTATATGCCTATAATGGAGAAGAGAGGGTGGTAGCTCATATTGGCCTTGGCTCGATGTTCACGAAGGTCAAACAGACCCTAACCAACTGGTCCATATCCTAGCAAGGGCAGGAATAGCTAGTACAACGACAATAGGTCCTCAGCCTTGTTTGTTGAGGACCAAAGGTTTAGGGAACTAAATTCCCAGACAGACTTAGACCTAGGTCATTTGGAGACTTGTTTCTAAGCTCTGAGAACCATGTTGACTGCCTCACAGAGGTAGTTTATAGAACATGAAACTATGTGGCCTTAGGAGAAACTTGATGTTTCCCTGCCAACCAATCAGTGGTAATTAGGGAAAACTTTGCCATGGACAGAGAAAACCTTGAAGGAGACAGATCGGAACTGATATCAGTTTGCCTGGTCCCCATGGCTTGATCACCTTACTGTCAGCATTAGCTGGACCATCTTACTCTGATTGGGCTAATGGTGGGACCCGGAAACCTCAGCTGCATGGCAAACTAAGCTACTGGTCCTTAGGACCATCTGTTTCCCCTAAAATAAGACAAGCCACTAATTTGACTCATGCCCATAGAAACTGCAAATTTTGTTTTAACCTGTTTTATGGCATCTGAAGTAGAGTAGTTGAAGATTATCAAGATTTTCAACACAAACTGAAATCTTCGGGATTAAAACGTTGACAAGTCCTTTGTAATTGTTTATTCCGTATTAAGTACCCTTACTGCA